TTTTGGGTTGTGTTTTTTTATAGTAAGTTATTTATAAAAGATTTTAGGCGTTTGTACATTAGTTTTTCGAATATTCGATTAAACACGGACAGTAACGATATTGGGCGATAATTGTTTGGGTCAGTTTCATCATCCGCTTTATAAATTGGAATTACTATAGCGTGCTTTAATTTGTGGGGATAGATACCAGTTGAAATGGACATGTTCATTAGTTCAGCTAGGGTATGAGATATAGCTTGACGTGCGGACTTCAAACGACGAACTGGACATGAATAAAGTCCGTAGGCTTTTTTTGATGGAGTACTCAAAATTTTCATTTCAATTTCAGTAGAAGTGACAGCGTCAAAGAAGAAAGAATTGGAGTAATTTGAATTCCCTAGGTAATCCTAAAAAGTCCCTGGTGGATAATGGTATGCTATTTGCAAGTTTAGGTCCGACAGATGCGAAATGATGATGCAATGCATTAGCTATTTCTGATTGGTTTTGTGTTGTACCCCGGTTGTCTGGAAGCTGGAGCGACGATACGAGCTTAGGTCCTCCACAGACTAGGGATTTTACTTGTCGACAACTATTTGTGATCGACCACTAAAAGTTATCGACAACTAAATAACTCCGATAAAGGATTCCACACACTGGCGCTCAAATACTGATTTAGCAGCCGATACGCGACGAGGTTGGGCACCAAGAGCTAACTGCGCATGCTCCGTATCGCCATAACGCCATAGTAACTCTTCATCGACATCAATGGACTGCCTCATTCCTGTCGTTTCTCAGTGAATATAAGGGATCAGTCTTTCAACAATAAGAATAAACGTACCCCTGTCTACTCGCAAATTGGTGATAAAATCGCCGTCACTCCAGTTTCTACGGCACGTCGGCCAAAATTCCTTCGAACGAACTTTATGCCAAATTTGCCGTTCAATCGTTTTGGATAAGATATCCTGCATCAGAACTTGTTGGTGGGCACAACCTGCCGCAATAATGACATCATTAGTGTCGTTTCCACCTCCAAGAAGAGGATGTGGAGAAGGAAGATGAAAAAGAATGTTTTCTTTACCAAGTATTTTTCTTCTGCAATCCTCCATGTTTTAAGCCGGCTGGGAAAGCCGCGGACACAATAGCGCGGAGATCTAAAAGTAGTCGATAACTAAAACAAAACTTTTCACACACTAGAAAAGCGCTAAAAAATGAGGCCGTCGACAACTACTAGTTGTCAACAACTATGCAGTTTCCCTTTTCGAAAAAGGAAACTGCTTAGTTGTCGACAACTAATAATCTGCAGTTTAGTTGTCAACAACTTGCGCCACAGACTACTTTTTTAGTTGTCGATCACAAATAGTTGTCGACAACTGAATCCCCAGTCTGTGGAGGGCCTTAGTCTTTTTGTGCTTATTAATTAAAGTGTTAATCCCCTCCCAAGTTTTTTTCATATTATTTAGGTTGCTACTAAAATAGGATTGGTAGTTAAGTCTTTTACTCTGGCGATTAAGGCTTTTAACTCTGGTGACATGGCTAAATACAAGCTGTACAGGAACACAATTTTAAAAAGTTGTGTTCCTGTACAGTTTGTATGTAGCCATGTCACCAGAGTTAAAGAGATCGTTGTTTATTTTTATTGATCTACGTAAACCTCTAGTTATCCACGGTTTAGATAGTTGCTTGGCCTTGCGTTTTGATACAATTTTGAGAGGAGCATGTCTATTAACAAGTTTATTCAATTTGTTGTAAAACGAAGAAAAGCTTTTGTGAATGGATCCATTAGAGATCAAACCGGTCCAGTCAGTTTAAGAAAATTCACTAATAAAGTTTTCTTCCGAGAATCTCGAATAGTCACGGATTTTAGTCCCCTGATAGCGAGAATTTAAAGATGGAGAATAGATGATGCAAAATTGAGAGAAGTGGTCACTTATATCTGAGACAATGTTGCCGCTGGAGAGTTTAAAGCCAATTCTGTTAACAAGAATATTGTCAATAAGTGTGGCAGAATTATTATGGACTCTTGTAGACTTGTTAATTACTGGATAAAAGGAGTAACTTTGCAGGGACAGTAGAAAGTTAAAAGAAAAATCACAGGTTACGGTCGTATATATAGGTAAAATGTAGGACTGGATCTTTGGAACTTTCCACCCTTGTACCATTTTTTGGACGATACTTTGGACCATTAACTTTGGACCATTTTGTTTTCATCTATTATCAGGAATGGGGGGATAGGCATATTTTTCATTTACGAGGGAGGTGGTGGCGCTTTTATTAATAAATGCAATTAGGAGGGCTGGATAGGTATATTTCTTTATTTTCTTGTCATGCAAATGCAAGACAGGCATGTATACATTCATTCTGCAATTGAGGGTCCCCACATGTAACAGGTTTTTCGATATTCGGGACTAGGCTTATTGAAGGCCAGGCTTTGGGAATTTAAGGCAAGAAGGGAGCGAGATGGGGGATTGTTAACATCATCGGGAGACGAAAATCGCTGATTTTGAGGGGAAGGATTCGGAAAATTATCACTTAAACGAACCGAGAACCGGGAAGGCTATTGACCAAAATTGATAAATAAACTATCTACCTGAAAATTAAAGAAAGTTTAACCTCCCACGCAGCCATTGAATCGCGTTTTACGCCTCCCCACAGACGCATGATACTAGATGTGGACAATATTCAATAGTGCATCACAAAGATGCATTTGATGCAAAATGCACGGTGTTAGATTTCGCACGAAACTTTGAAAATGCTGCGAAAGAAAGCTCAAAGAGGAGAACCCACTGGGTGGTGTACTATTTTACAAACTCAAAGTCTTGGCATCCTGCCCCCGAACATGCCATGATCCTGTCGGCCATACCAGTATTGAACCATTTCCACCTGTACCTATGGCGTCACAGTGTAGACAGATGATGAGGGACTGGGCGCAAACATTTGGTGCAGCAGTGCATCAGTGCTCTTTCAGTCAGGAAACATGGATGGTAAGAGCAGGAACTCTCCCGTCTTCCTCTATCAGAGAGAAACTCAGCCGAGTGAAACGGTCAGCCTTTAATGCTCCGACTTCGAAGAGCAGCAAGAAAATAGCGGGAAACAAGGCGAAGAGGAAGATGAGGTATTACTGAGAGCACAATTCCCCAAGCAGTGAAGTAAGAATCAGATGAGTCATCTCCGGAGAACAAGACCGCATATGATGATGGTTACATTCTATCTTTGGCAAGAGAAGCCGATTTTCTTCTCAGAAGACTCACCCACTTCGGAAGAAATATTTGCTTCAACGCAGAATTGTGTCCAGTTACTGTTTCTTTTTCTTCCCTTGTTATCTATTTTTGTTTTATGCACTTGTTGACATTGTTATTCGTTTCTTTGATACTGACCTGGCTTTACCCGTCATCGAAGTTAAACGAAAGAAGTCGTTACCGTGGCTAACGTACGTTACACATGCAAAACTTTTACAACTTCTCAAAAGAACGTGATCATCGTTTTGGTGAAAAGAAATAAACTTACGCCTTGCAGTGAGCAAAGAATTCAACTGATCAATACCTCTTAATTGGTGTTTTGATAATTGCCTTTCGCTTAAGTAAGTAAAGTAAGTAGAACCTTTATTCAAGTGTCAATGTGTTAAGCCCAGATGGACTAATTGGGGACACCAATACAATAGCAAGACTAATTAACATATGGTACTCATAAAATTGACTATTCACAGGAGAATGATAAAAGACTTAGTGAGCATAAGAGATCCAAATAAAAAAAAAAGTATTCTATTGGTTACAAAGATTACAGAAATGGCTGTTGTTGGTTAAAATGTCGGCAAGATTCAATTTTCTTATTGTTTTAATAAGAACTGGTAAACTGGAGGAATTCCTTTGATTTACGGTAAGTTTTGTCCATAAGAATGATCTAAGATATCTAACAGAGTGTTTGCCGTAGCATGTAGTTCTAAAACGTGGTAATACGAAGTCACTATTTCGCAGCGAGTGTGTAGAGCTTTTGCGGACAAATATGTCGGAACATAATCAGGTACGAGACCATGTTTAACTTTGAACATAAGTGCAGTGACGTCTTGAAGCCGTCTGTTATTTAAAGAAAGTATATCAGCACGTCTCAAAAGTTCTTCACATGTGTCGCCTTTCTTGTATTCTCTCTTGGATTCGTACTAGCTTCCTTTTGTCGGATAACTTGCAAAAATGCCAAGTTAAGAGGCAGTAAGTTAGATAGGGTAGTATAAAATATTTATACAGCAGTAGCTCAGCCTTGCAGGGCATTAAGTTCGAAGACCAGGAAGTACTCCGACTTTCTGGCTTGCCTTAGTAAATAATTTGCTAACATACTCGGTAAAATTGAGATTATCATCTCCGTGAACTCCTGATGATATAATTAGTTCCGTGTTCGCAATGTCCAGGTCTTTTATATTCAGCATCTTTTCTCTCTTGCCCTTATCGAGTTTCCATGAATTTAATGTTTAGAGACTGAAACTTGTCTGGATTAGCCAGTAGAAAATTTTTTGTAAGCCACAACAGTGCTTACTGGCGCATGAATTTTCATTCCACTTCCTACTGTTTCATGGTCCCTTCCTTTGACGTACATTTGGTGGTCATGAGTGTACATAGTTAAATTTGTGTCTTTAACATGAGCTGACATATCGTTCTAGTTGATGTTCCATAGTAAGGGGCCGAAAGACGATTCTTGAGAACATCTCCTTTCCCTCTTTATCCGGTCACTAGTGGCGTCACACATTTTACTCTGTTTAGTCTGTTGTCGAAAAATAATCGCATAAGGTTAAGTGATCGCCCACCAAATCCATAAGCCTCCAGTTTCTTTATCGTCAGGGAATGGGTGAGAGAATCAAAGGCCTTACTCATATCTGTAGATAACACTGACACCAATTGCTTGCTATGGACGGCCTTTTTCCAATCCTCAATCAGCGTAAGAAAGGCTTTTTCGCAACTATGTCTTTTTCTGTCGGCTGTCATTCTTTAGTATGGAGTGTCATTGTAATGGCTAGTCAGCTGATTGCTTAGCAACAATTCATATATTTTATCAACAGCTATGAGGGAAGTGATAGGGCGATACTTTTTGGCCTCCTGTCGGTCGCCCCTCTTAAATACGGGTGCCCACACGCTCATCTTCCATGCGCTAGACCAGGTACTCTGCTCTATTCGGTTGTTGTAGAGGCTTGTCAACGATGCTGCTGTTTCTTTAGCCACATGCTTGAGTAATTTTGGCGGTAGTCCTGTGTCCCATCCACTGAACTTGTTTGGATTTATCCTTCCAGTGCCTGCTCCATTTCCGCCACTATGAAGAGCTTTTATACAAAATAAGTTTCTTTGTTGGTTTCTCGTATGGTCTAAACTTTGGTCACCCTGGTCCTCTTCCGTAAAGTTATTTACGTGATCTCCGCCGATACCTAGTGCCGCATTAGTGTATAGTGGGTGAGTATCTCTGCCACTTCCCTTTGATCCTTTATTGCATTATCAACTTCCGTTTTAAGGTACACTGCTGCCGATTCTTTGCTCTTGTTACTAATAAAAGGTTTGAACGTGTCGTAAAATTTCGATGGTGTTGATTTATATACAATGAAATATATAAAGTTCATATATTTCATTGTATATTTATCACTTTCACGGGTTTATTACGAATCAACTCAACGGCCTGCTCCCAGTTGGCTTGTTAGCTCAATTGGTAGAGCGCTGTACTAGTATCGCAGAGGTCAGTGGTTCGAATCCCGTACAGGCCTGATTTTTTTCAGGTCTGATTTTCGCTATTGCTTAAATAGCGCTATCTACTGCGAGGATCGTGCATCATATGTAATATTT